GTCTTTGGAGTTTATAAGACGAAGTTCTCATTATTGCTCACAAAATTTTTTACGCAAGCTATTAACTCAACCCATTCAATTTGTTCAAATCTAGAACTTCAATAAGAGATGGAGGACGAAGCTTGTGTCGCCAAGGCAAGAAAAATGTGGAACAGGTTTTTTATAAGCAGATTTTGTCATGATCTAGACAAACCTCCAAGAAAGCAAGCTTTTCTCGCTGAACTTTCACTGTTCAGAAGTAATTTGATATCTCTATCTTCAATTGGTGCTTAGTATTTTGTGTTGTTCTGTGTTTATACAAGGCACTGAGCTTCAAGATTTCAATCAAACGCTGATCCATTTTTTGTCATACAAAAAAAATTAACTTACTCTGTACTTCTGACAGTACGCCTCTATACTGTTGTGTTTCCGGCGAGAAGCTTCAAGCTCCTCAGTGTCGATTTCCGAATCTGGCACCTACAAAATTCGAAGCTATTATCGTAATCAAAACTACAAAATGCACCTCGTCTTTGAAGTCGGTAAGCCAGGTAAGAAACTGTTCTTGTTCTTTCTGAATGTACCCAGGCACCTTTTTGTCATCGCTGAGGGGAGTCGAGGGCTTTGTTGTCGGTAGCACTGGCTTAGTGGTTGAAGTGACTGGATCGCCTGAAGTTTCGTCATTTCTTGTTAACAATTAGCTTGTAAATATCTTTCACAATTCCCCTCAGAAAGTAAAAATCTTCTATGGATTTTCATAGTGCCGGCATCTCTATCTTTAGTAATCTTTCTTGAAAACCTCACCCAATATATGAGAATCGCAAAAAGACAGCGTAGGGTCTCGTTCACATGCGATACGAACTAGGCTGAGCGAAACTGCTGAAATGAGTAGCAATAACAGGATTAGAGTACCTTCAATTAGTTGATATTACTGACAAAAAGTCAGTGATAAAATAAGAATGTAGGTGTAAATTTATTTCGTAAACTGTTTTCTGAAAAATATCTTCCAAAGAAGGCTGTGGCTTATGCAGAAGCCGAAACGCGTAAAGTTAGTAATAATTAAGCATTGTTAGACTGTCCAGTAAATTTTGAGATTATATTTTCCAAATTGTTTCCATTCCTCAATATATATATATATATATATATATATATATAATTGCCAACAATATAGTTGGTATTTATGATAGCTTGCCATTCGTCTGACAAAATCGCACTGCGTACCATCTTGAGAGGTGAAGTTTGGGAGAGTGATCTTCCTGAAGCCTGATGTTCAGTTTGTTAAAGTCAAAGGTAATCCGTCCATAAGTTTCTAAGAAAATTTTTGAAAATTTATTTAATCTAAAAACTTGTTGGACATTCCAGTAGTGACTGATTCAGCAGGAAGGTTATTGAAATACGGCATGAAGTATGAACAGCAGGAGGACGACCGCAAAGCTCATGCCACCTTACACCTTCTTTAACAAATATATATATATATCCCCTTTCA